CTTTTTTTTTTTTTTTTTTTTTTTTTTTTTTTGTAAAATTGTTTAGCACGAGCGTGAAACAAAATCGTCGATAACACACTCGTACCTTCTTAAAACGCTAGTCGTCCCTTCCGTTTTCTAAATTTCTTTCCTTAATCGAGTCTTCTTTTTTCTCGTTTTATATCTCGGTATCGTCCTTCGTTTTACCGTACGACGAACTTTTATTCGCTAAGAGCGTAATCGTTCCTCCATTTTTAACGCGCGACTCCGCAGTCTCTACGTTCTAAAGTAGATGATATCAAATAAATAAACGGTGAATAAAAATCGACTATTTTTCTATTAGACGAGTACCATTTTTCGATTAGGTTTTCTAATACCGAGAATCGATCTCAGCCAGTCAATTAAACATCTTACAAACAAAAAAAAAAAAACTCACAAAACCAAAATAAAGAAATAAAAATTCACGCTGAAATCGCAAAATACATTTCTATTTTTTTAACCGTTTTGAAAGATCGTCCTATAAAGAAAGGAAACAAAAATGTAAGCTTGGTTCGTCATCCAGTTCTTTCTTCTTTGCAAGCAATCGTTTCGATCACGACACTCTTCTTGTTTCTTACGAACGATTTGCTAACGACGAATGTTTCTAGTCGATCGTGAAACGTCTTCGGCTATGGCTTCACCCCACGTCGGTCTTCATCGAAGACTGTTCACGTTCGATTTCGTAGAAATGATTCTCTGCTTTCGAACGCTCATGCGACGGTTAAAATGAAATTAAAACGATACAAATAAGAAGAAACGCACGGTGAAACCAGAAAAATGATTGGACGAGAAAAGAATGTTTTTATGAGATTTATTATACACTCTCGATCGTGATCTATCGATTTCATATAGATCTATTATCGACAACTATTCGTACTTTTTACAATCTGATGAATTATATATTTTAAAATAGATGAATTTTAGAGATAATGAAATGAAGAATCAAAACGAAACCAGTGATTATTAGTAACCTTTTTTTAGATTCGATTTATCATAAATGTTAATTCTGTCTCAATTTTACAAACAATGAAGAAACGATACGTTTTCTTATTTTGTTATTATATATGTCTCAGAGCGATCGTCAGCCGTGGACGGATCGTCGTTTGAAACGCTCCTGTTCCTTTCACATTCGCACACGTTTCTTTCCTCGATCGCGATCCATGGATCCGCTTAGAATGATCCGCGCGATGCACACAGACAAGGTTTTTCTCTCGTCGACTTCCGAATGATTCTCAGTTGCGTGCGTGAGTACAATGTTAAGGAATGTTTGAGAAAAAGAAATTAAATAAGAAAAGGAACAAAAGGAAAAACGAAGAGAAGAACAGGTTTCGTCGCAGGATTTTTCGAAAGGAATATTTTCGTAAAAATCATACGACGAACCGGTCGAACTTCCAGTTACGATCGATAAACAGAACGAACGAAACAGGACAGGACGAAACGGAACAGAAGTGAAAAGGGAAAATCGGCTGGTTATCGTTGCTGTTCTTTTCTTTTTTTTTGTATAGGATGCGTGGAAAAAATTGTATCGTCACGATGCCAAAATAGTATTAAATATTTGCGGTAATAATTAAGACGTAAGAAGAGGAATCGCTAGCTGTTGTACTCGATGATGATTGTCGTGTGTAGCGAGAGCAGGAAGAAAATGAATGTAACGCACGCGAACGAGTTTTATTGCCAATTCTGTACCTTTTTCCTTTCGAAAAGAAGATCGGAAGTTGGATGAGAAAATCGATTCTAGCGTCGATCAGGGCATGATTCGATAACGTGGTTGTACGAACGAGGCGGAATGAGAGCAGGAAAAAAAGGAAGGATGAAAGAAAGAAAGAAAAAGGTTGAAAACTGTATTTTTTCTTCCAATACCAAAAAGATGCCATTTTGTTTTGTACGAAAAAACCTATGAAAAAACTCGTAAAAAAAAATATATAAAAGAAAGAAGGAGAAGTAAACGAAACGAAGGAGATATGGTGAGAATGTGTAGGAATTAAATATAGGAGGAAGTTTGGGCAGGAGTTGAAGCTAAGCGGGGCTGAACAAATTTTTTAAATAGTTTGTAGCGAGCGTAATATAACAGTTGTAATAACGATTGCAGAACAAATTACAAAGATGCAAAACAGATAAATATTTACGCAACAAATATACTTGATGTATATCTGTCTCGTGAGATGAATAATAATAATAATAATACTAATACTAATAATAATAATAATAATAATAATAATAATAATAATAATAAAGTAAAAAAAATAAAAAAGAACAAAAAAGTAATGAAACCACTTGTCCGCCTTATGAAGCCAGAATAATACAATAGGTGATCGATCGATAAGAATTGACAAAACAAAATAAAAAAAAGTAAAGTAAATTAAAAGTAACAGGTTAATTAACGATAAGTGCGAAAATCGCGAAACGCTCGTCACATATTTATGTTTATCTCTTAAATATGTATATGTATATATTTAAGGAAACTTGTATGTATATACAAGCTCGTATATACGTACAGGGTGTGTTACGCTGTTAGAAACAAATAAATAAATAAAATCGAGTAGAGAATCAGAAAAAGAGAGTCAGGTCAAAAATGAGGGAATGATAAAAAGAGCGTCGCTCGCAATTTTTGCACTTAGGTACCAAAACAATATTCCCTGGATCCCCCGAAATAGGGCATACGAATATAGCGCTACGTATACACCGGTTACATATGTGTACATATATTTTTGGATAAAGAACCCAGAAGAAAAAAAAGTTTTAAATCGAAATTCGGGCCGCGACGCAAATCATGAAGTTGTTTCGATGGATCGTTTCTCGACGCGATGATCGTTTACGAACGAACAAACATCCAAAACGGAAAACAAATAAACAAGAAAAGTAAGAGTTGCAGACTTAATAGTATAAAAGAATTGAAACGAGTAAAAAAAGTACTATGATGATGATTCTTTTCTGTTTCTTTTCATAATATTCCGTGAAATCGATTCGATTATTGGTACCGTAGATTACACTTTGCGATCGTTTTCGTTCAACGATCTATGACGAGAAAAATCGTCTCTCTCAATCGTGATTGCAGATAGTGCTTCGAGAATAAACGAAATGAAAATGGAATAGGTATCACGAAAAAAGATACGAGACAGAGATATAATTAAAAGATAATAAAGCATAATGGAATGGGGGAGACACGAAGTGATCCATCGAAAAAACATTCCCCATGCATCCGGTCCAAAAAAGTGTATTTATGAATATTTATTTACGCGAGACTAAATGAGATGGAAAAAAGAGGAAAATGATGAATGAAAGAAAATCTAATATATTGACGATTTAATAAAATAGATGGTCATAAGTTTAAGATGTAAGTTTTATAATGAATATATATATATTATATATATATATATAAATCTACATATATATATATTTACTTGTAAAGCGTTTTATTGCCTTTCGCCAAGTTCGATCGCGCCAAAAAGAGCCGAACGAGCGGAAGGGATAGCGAAGCAATGGTGGTCGAAAGAAATGAGGAAAAACTCATTCTCGATTCAAAAAAAAAAAAAATTTAAAAGAATAAGAAAACGTGGTAATTAAAAAATTATCGGTCAACAATGAACGTGAGCGAATGAAACGAACGTGAATATTCGTGAAGATAAAGTAATTAATTAATTACGTCAGAGAGTGATCTTCGTTTTTGTCGTACCATCGTGAACGTTGACGATGTAACTTATTATTATTACTATTATTATCATATTACTATTATTAT